CTTCATTTTTATTTATTTATTTTGAGTCTGGGTCTCACTCTAGGCCGACCTGGAACTCACTATGTAGACCGGATTTGCATTGAACTCACAGAGATCCATCTTTTCCTGTCTGACAAATGCTTGGACTAAGAGTGAACTTCACCACACCCTGTAGTGTAAATATTCTTTTCTTTTTCTTTCTTTCTTTCTTTCTTTCTTTCTTTCTTTCTTTCTTTCTTTCTTTCTTTCTTTCTTTCTTTCTTTCTTTCTTTCTTTCGTTCTTTCTTTCTTTCGTTCTTTCTTCCTTCCTTCCTTCCTTCCTTCCTTCCTTTCTTCCTTTCTTTCTTTCTTTCTTTCTTTCTTTCTTTCTTTCTTTCTTTTTTCTCTCTCTCTCTTTCTTTTTTTCTTTTTTTGGTTTTTCGAGGCAGGGTTTCTCTCTGTAACAGCCCTAGCTGTCCTGGATCTCGCTCTATAGACCATGCTGCCCTCAAACTCACAGAGATCCACCTGCCTTTGCCTTCCTAGGGCTGAGATGAAAGGCGTGTGCCCGCACTACCTGGCGAAAATATTCTTAAATTAGGAAATGGTGATGTATGTGTAATGATACGGTGCGCTAGAGGCCTTGGTGGGTTTTGGACCAAGGTGCCCCAGCGGGTGAGACATGCCTTACAGGCATGGCAGACAGTGGAAAATTACTCACCCAATGCAACATCCATGTGGCAAGTTTATTTTCTGGGGAGGGGAAGGAAAGAGGAGAGAGAAAGCTTGAAAGAAAGAGAGGGAGGGAGAAACAGAGAGAAAGGTGCGGGCTACCTGGGGTGGGGATGGGGGGAGCAAAAAGGAAGAGTGTTTTTTTTTTTTTTTCTTGAAGTGGCCTTCACGAAAGATAATGTCAGGAAACTAGGTGGGTCCCAAGGAGTGCGGGTTCAGAATGTTAACAGTGTGCACAACTCTGTGAATACACTAAAAACAATTAAATTGTATGCAGCAAGAGCTTATACAGGGAATTGAACCCTGGAACTCGTGCATGTGGTCTGAGTCTTTTTTATGTCTTATTAGTTATAGTTATGTTGGATTTTTAAAAGAAAATCAAATCCACTGAGGTACAATTTATATACAATAAAATACACTAATTGCATCTGTTTATTTTAAAATACACCTTTAAACGCTTATTTCATGTGCTTTGCTTCTGTATGTATATGTGCACTACCTGCAGTCAGTGGCCTGTGGAGGCCAGACAAGGACATCAGATCTTCAGCAACTGCACTTACAAATGGTTGTGAACAAGCATGTGGGTGCTTGGAACTGGATTTAGGTCCTTTGTGAGAAGAGAAAGTACTCTTAATCACTGAGCTATCTCTCCGGCCCAAGAATGCACTGATTTTAAAATGAGCTGTTTGTATATATCACTGCTGTCACATTTATGACCTAGACCTTTCCCTTTGAGTTTTGTTCTTCAAGACAGGGTTTCTCTGTGTTGCCCTGGCTGTCCTGGAACTCACTCTGTAGACCAGGATGGCCTCGAACTCACAGAGATCTGCCTGCCTCTGCCTCCTGAGTGCATGCACTACGTCACCTGCTTAGACTCTTTTTAAACATCAAGCCCCACTCTGATGTTCCTTGGGCATCTGTAGGCAGAAGTTTCTCTCCCGCCTGCCTGTTCCCAAATACACAGCAGCTGCTTTCCAAATAATTGACATGGAGGCTTAATATTACTTATAAATGTTCGGCCGGTAGCTCAGGCTTATTACTAACTAGCTCTTACATTTAAATTAACCCATCATTCGTATCTATGTTTAGCCATGTGTCTAGTACCTTTTCTCAGTATGACATTCTCTTCTTGCTTCCTCTATGTCTGGCTGGTGATTCCTGAATCTACCCTTCTCTTCCCATAATTCTTCTAGTCTGGTGACCTTGCCTATACTTCCTCCCTGGCTACTGGCCCGTCAGCATTTTATTAAACCAATTTGTGTGACAAATCTTTACAGTGTACAAGAGCATTATCCCGCAGCAGGCATCCACCAAGTGAGGCATTCTTCATGTAGAGTTCCTTATAAATGAAATCACAAATTGCTGGTAGTGGTGGTGCACACCTTTGATTCTAGCACTTGGGAGGCAGAGATAGGCAGATCTGTGTGAGTTCCAGGACAGCCTGGTCTACATAGTAAGTATGGAGTTCCAGGACAGCCAGAGCTACATAGGGAGATCCTGTCTCAAATAAACGAATGGAATTACATATTAGGTACACTTTTTTTTTTTTTTACTTTGGCTTTGGCAAGATGTTTATGGGATTCAAATGTACTCTTTTCTATGTAAGTATTTCCTTTCTTTGCTGAATAGTATTCTCTTTTATGTATTCTATGTCTGAGTTTGTATGTCCAGTCACATGTTTGTGGATGTTTCTGTTATCTCTAGATTAGTTGATTTGAATAAAGCTGACAGAAGCATTTGCTTATCTTTTATAAACATGTGCTTTCATTTATTTTAGAAGATATGCGGTAGTACCTTCGGTGAATCTTATAAGCAAATATTTAATTATTAAAGTAACTGCCACACTGTTTTACAAAATGGTCATACTATTTAATTTCACCAGCAACGTAGGAAACTTTGGTTTGTTCCATGTCCCACTATTGTTGGTCCTTTTTTTAAAGATTTGTTTTTTCTGTGTGTGTGTGTGTGTGTGTGTGTGTGTGTGTGTGTGTGTGTGAATTCATATATTAGTGCAGTGCCTGTGCAGGCCAGTAGGGGGTGCTGGAGCACTTAGAATTTACAGAAAGCTTTGTGAGCTGCCTGTTGGGGGAACAGAACTGTGGTCTTTTGCAGAAGCAGTGTAAGTATTTAACGCTTGAGCCACCACCTCGGCTCCTCTCGTTAGTCTTTTGAGTTTAATTAGATTCTTAGAGAGTGAGCCATGGTATCCAATTAAGGCTTCATTTATGCAGAAAGGGCATTGCCATCTTCAAATTCTATTTTAATTTTAGGTGCTTTTAGTCACATGTTGGCCATATTAAGTTCTTTCTTTCCTCCCTCCCCATCTCCCTACCTCCTTGTACACATACCTCAGCCTGGCCTTGTGCCTCATCCTCCAGAGTTCTGAGACTTCAAGTGTGAGTCATCATGCCTGGCATTAAACTATTGAAGGGCTCTAGCTAGCCCAGGCCTAGCAAACACGGCTCTGGCAGGCCTTGCCCTTCTCTCCCAGTCCCTCTGCCTTGCTAAAAACTGTTAGATCACATTCCTAAAGCTGGCCACAAGGTCTTTTCCCATATTTGGCCACTTCTTCTGAGGCTGACTACCAAGGTCCAGCTATCAAAGTTTTGAAGTCCATCAATCAAAAGCCCCCTTTGGCTCACCTAATTAACATGTCCAATTAAAATAAAACACTTCACAGTAACACAGGGGTTTCCCCTTTACCTTTGTATACTGCCGTTTTCCTGTGTGCCCCGTCTGTCTCCTCTCTAACCCGAGGCCGTCCTTCATCCCACTGGGACAAACACCCCTCCCCCTTCTCCATTGTCCCCTTTCACCTCTCCCTTGTCCGCTATCTTGTGTTTGTCTCTTATTCTCTGCTCTCTAGGGCAAATAAATCTCCTTTGTGCTGAGAACCTGACCGTGGGGGTCCTGGGCAGATACTTTTCCTGTCAACTATTATTTTTATTAATGCTGCCTATTACTTTAGATGGGGAATAATGGGAAAGAATGGGCTTCATGCCTGCACTCCAGTCCATCCTTCAGAAGGACACCTTGACTACTCCCCTCCCTTGTGGTATCCCCAGGGGATTGAACCCAGCTTCTACCCCATCTCCTATGTGGTTTTGAAAGGACCAAGCAGATGCCATAACAGGCTGCTCAGTCTTCTCTCAGAGATCAGGCCTCAATTTCAGTTTCCTGAGACTGAGCAAGCAGTCTTTGGGAGGGCCATGAACAAAAGACATAGTCCTTGCAGTAGCTCCCTTTCTGCACGTACTCTGACTGCTCAAGGTTCAGCCAAATGTTTACTGTCTGGGACCCCTCACCAACTTAGAGTTATGTGCATGAGTCAAGGACAGAGCCTGGACCACTGAGCCAGCCCCCACAGTCAGTACGTGCTAGGCCAGCCAGTCCCCATGGCGGCTCAAGGACAAAGCCTGGGACTTGTCCTGGACAGCCCCCAAAGTGATAATTGTAACCCCAACCAGTAAATTCAAAGGTTACACACCCTCACCCAATTAAAAGAGAACAGAGATAAAAATAAACCAATCCGAGTTGCACCCGTGCAACCCCCCCCCCC